TTTGAGTAGTGGGATTTTCCTTCTCGTTTCTATACCATATGTCAAGGTCTAAAATCCCATTTCACGTCCTGGGGGATTTTTCCTCCTTTGCAAGCAAAAGTTCTATTGGTTGCTGCAATGGAAACAAAGTGAAATGAAAAGCAGAGGGATGTGGGTCCAGGAGACCCACCTTTCCAGTCTAAGGCCTGTGCCAGATCTTCCTCACATGTAGGGGAGGAAAAAAAAAAAGAGGAAAGAGAAGGGAACCACTGGGGAAGGAAGATGCCAATAAAATAGTGAAGAGAAGAGCCGATGAAACTCCCAGAAGCTGGGTGGTCAGTGAACATTCTATTATAAATAGTGATGCCTCGAGCTTCATTTTAAAGTATCTGTGTGTTAGACCATAAACATCTCCGCTCCCATCTTCAGAAAATTCCCCTCTCAGTTAGTGTGGCTCAGTGTTTGAGTGTCGACCCATGTACCAGAGGTCACTGGTTCGATTCCTGGTTGGGGCACATGCCTGGATTGTGGGCTCAATCCCCAGTGGGGAACATGCAGGAGGCAGTTGATCATTGTTTCTCTCCCATCAATGTTCCCACCTCTCTCCCCCTTCCTCCTTCTCTAAAATCAATAAAACACTTAAAAAGAAAGAAAGAGAGGGAAGGAGGGAGGGAAAAAGACTGCCCTGTACCCCACCTCCCAATCTTCTATACACATAAGTTTTGAGATACTGGGGAAAGAGTAAAATTTCACAACTGGGTCACCCCAATGCAAAAGCAAGGCAGTACATGCAGAAGTCAGAAAAGCAAAGATCCAATGAAATGAGGGAGAGATTAGGAACTGATGAACAGATGCTAAAGTTTTCTTGTGTTTGTTTAACAGCAACCTCCCCTACTAGACTGTCAGCTCTAGGAGGACATCCATCCATTATCCCAAGGCCCCAGGATACCTGAGCGGCAGTAGAGGGCACTAGGGCAGCAGCCGTGGAGGAAGAGGCCTGGATCTGGCCCTCAGGGCCTATCGCCACAGGCAGGGGTCATGGACACTCCTCACACCCTGTCCCCAGGTTAAGACACAGGTATCTGGCCATGTTAAGACTATGGAGGCCCTCAGTAAATGTGGTTAGTCTTAAACTGGTTATGTAAATAAGGAGAAGCAGGCAGGAAGATCTCTATCTCCTCAGTAACTGAGTTAATTGTAGCTTTCTTGGGTACAAAAAGAGTTAAAATGAATTCAAACTGATCGGATAATGAGTAAAAACAAACAAACAAAAAAACCGACACACAAACTAAAACCTGGGCTGGACAAGATTTGGGATCAGGTAACTAAACAAAAGTCCATGGTAGTGCTGTTTGTTACCTTGCCATTGTAACTTTATAGGATTTTTACCCCCTAAGGAAATACAAGTAGGCAGGACTCCTAAAACTTTCTTCCTTAACAAAGTCTTATTCCTAAGTGTTACATATTTATTATGTCTACAACTGTAAAGACAAGGAAATAAATCCTTCAGTTTTAAATGATAGTTTTTCTTTACCAGAGAACCAAGACTCAGAGGCAAAGTAAGGTGCTAAAGGCTACACAGCTGTTTGCTGGCAATGTCTGGGTAAACCTTACTTCATTCTGGAAAGGCAGGAATTATCATTGATGTACTCCACAGCGGATAAAATGATCACCTCTAGGATCAATATTATTTACACGGATTCTAAGGAATCCTGACTTAATAAATGGCCATTCTCTGTATCATGATTAGCTGTTATTATCCTGACAACATTTGGGTTAATTTTTGTTTGGTACCCTTTACCAAAAGATGGCATTTCACATCATAAATAGAGTGGCAACTACTCAGACCTTAGAGTACTACATTATATCTGAGTAAATCCAACACCTAACTCAGGTTACCAATAAACTGAAATTCCATTTCTCTGCCTTTACCATCCAAATATAGACAATTCACAATTGGGAGGGATAAAGGAGACATATGTACTACTATTTTTAATACTTTAAACAATAAAAAAAAAAAGTATGGACAATTCAAAGGCTTAAGTCACAGTCATCACCGATGCTCAGTTAAGCAATGAGGTAGCTAGTTTCCAAGGTGGCAACTATGGTACACACACACACACACACAAATGCCTTCCTCCTCCCTATCCCAAAAATATCTGTGTTCTGATAACAAGAAGCTGTGTAGGCCAGGTTACATGGTAACGAGACAACCAATTGATGTGCCTCTCTCACATTAATGTTTCTCTCACTGTGTCTCTCCTCTTCTCTTCCACTCTCTCTAAACAAATCAATAGAGAAAATATCCACAGGTGAGGATTAACAAAAGTAAACAAGCAAACAATCAAAACAAAAAAAGTTCTAACAGCTTCTGCTTTGTACCTATCAGAGACCTGGGTTTCTAGGAAAGAAATACAGACTTCCCTGCTGGAGAACGGGCCACATGGGGAGACCCTGAAAGATGAGATGTCACCATATAGAGAGAGGCCACATGAGGGAATATCGAGGTGACAGCCATACAGCTCCAGTTGCCATCTGATTACAACCACTTGAGAGAATCATGAGATTTAATTACATGGTTGTTTGGGAATGGTTTATTACTCAACAACAAATAAAACACCAAAACAACTATCCAACAACAGCAACAAAAGCTCATGGCATGCTAGGCCTGTTGTATCACAAGAATACATCCCATTTTAATAAGCCTTCCTAAAGGAAAGTAATTGTCACTTAATTTTAATGCAGTGAGATATTATTTTATTACTAGAGGCCCGTTGCAGGAAGATTCCTTCAAGAATAGGGCTTCCTGCGGGCATTCCTGCCGCCCCGCCAGCTTCTCTCCCTTCTCCGCTGCAGCTTCGCTCCCTTCTGCAGCGCTTGGTCTCCTTCTATACTGTCTTCAGTCTTCACTCTGCTGTCTGGGTATGCAAATTAACCACCATCTTCAGTTCATTTGCATACGTGCTTCTGATTGGCTGGTGGGTGCGGCTTGTGAGCGTAGCAGAGGTATGGTCCATATGCATGTTTCTCTTTTGTGAGATAGGATGGCTAAGTATCTATTAATTTCATAGATATTTAAATTAAGCATTTCTTAAATTTTATTTTGCACTTTGCAATTTAGTTGTCAATCAATTTTTGTGTTCCAAAAATTTTAATAGAACCCGAAGAATCCATAAGTTCTAGACACAGTGTCTAGAGAGCCCAATAGAAAAAAAATCACACAGATGCAGTTAACTCACTTTGGGGATAGAGGAAGTCATTACTCCAGCATATCTAGTTGTCCCCATTGGACTCATTCCTATCTAAGCAGCAAATACTCTAATTAGATCCTGCCTACAGCACCAACAGCTGAGGATCCTGGCCATTTCAGTCATTATTTCATTGTAGAATAATGAGTCCTGGGCTTAATTTCTCAGTTTGTTCTTTTTTCTGGGTGCATATTACCAATGCCAGTCTCATCCTAAAAGTAGTGAGTTTGTCACCAAAAGAGCCACCAATCCTAATCTCCAATTACTATATAAGAAATGTCTCAAAGGCTATTCCTTTCTGCCTCACAGTTTAATTGGGTATAGCCAAACACATAAGTTATTTTAGAACAATAATAGAGTAAGATTAAAATCATTACTTCTAATATGAAAGAATAACCTGAGAGAGTGAACTGGACTTGAAATTTGAAACCTGAAGGGGAGATTGCTCCCACCAATCAGCTAGATGACTAAGATTTCCCACTGACTGGAAGCCCCCTGTGAGTAAATACATAGTCTGTCTATCAAAATCATCCAGGTCTCTCTCTCTCCAGGCCCAGTGACCTGCCCAAGACAGTTAGTGACACAGGGCTTAGAGATATGATCAATAACACATTCACAGTGTAGATGGTATTTTTACCCACATTATCTTACAAATAGCCTTGGAGTGAGTAAGGAAGAATGATTAAATCTCCCATTTTTCAGCCTGACATTCAATGGCTTATCCAGTGAAGGACTCAAATCCAACAGGTCATACCCCCAAACCACTGATCTTTCTCTACGCCACAATTTCATGCATGGGCTGGTTTTTGGCACAGTCATTTCAGCACTCAATATCTTGCAAATGTCAAATTCTCTTTTATTAGAAGGTATTTTTCTCCTTATTTTATCCTGCCTCAGCAATATTTCACATTCAGCCCTCCTTGTCAGAACTCTACTGACCTTTTCTCTTAAAGAAAAAACAAACAAACAAACAACAACAACAACAACAAAAACAATTCAGTGGTCACATTTGGCACCAGACACATTTTTGAAAACAGAATCATCAAAACTGGGCCTTTCCATATAAACCATCTTCACAAAGTATATCCCCACATATGTATCATTCAAGATGTACATCATTCTTGTACTTGAACACACCGCTCTGGGCCCTCAAAGAGCAATGATGACTCACTCATTCAATTAAAATTTCACAGGTAATCACCAAGAAGGCAGTTCTAACAAATGGGTGGGACACGGGCAAAAACGCTACAGTGGAAACTGATTAGCATTCATGGAAGGAAGGATCTACAAGTGAAGTGAGCACGGGGAGAAAATGATCCGATATTCTAGTCACACCCATCCAAAGGCTCTCATCCTGGGTGGGTTTAGGGAAGGGGTGGGGAAAGAACCCAAATTTCACGACCAGCCTCCAGTGGTTTGGCGGCAGTTTCTGCTGGAAACACCTGCATCCCTCCCCCCTGTTCCCATTTACCTGGTAAACTACGACACTAGTCCCCATCCCCGCCCCTGGCCAGAAGCCGGTAATGGATGCTCAACAGCTCAGTAGACCTCGGGGTTTAAGACCCAACAGACTGGACAACCTCCAGGGACGCCTGTCACCGGCCGCCCCACGCAGCAGCGAGGCCCAGGCGCAGGGCAGGGGCCCCACCGCCTTCGCAGGGAGGGCGCCGCCCCTGGTGAGGGCAGAGGGAGAGGAGACCCCAGCCTACTCTCCCCCCCCCCCTTCATTCATAAAATGCAAGGGGGAAAAAAGGGGGGAAAAACTTCACTAACCGACGTGAGTGGTCACTGTGGCCAGTCGCCGGGTGAGCTCCTGGGGAGCCATGTCTTCTTTTACCCCAAATAACATTTCGCCAAATGCCTGTTTCTTCTGCTGCTCCGGATGGTTTTCAAAGGGCATCTCCTCTGGAGGATGCTCTGCGCTCCCCCTCCTCCTCGCTCTCTTCAGGCACAAACCAGAGTCCCCGCCGGCCAGGCCACCTCTCGGGGCCACGCCCTCCAGGGGATTATTTTTAAGGTGAAGTCGGGAGCTTCCCCGGCGTGACGTCTGTCTGTCTGGCTCGAAGAGCGGGAATGGCAGCTCCGGAGCTAAGAGCAAGTCCTCCGATCTCCCTGCAACTGCGCCACGGGCCTCCGGGCCCCAGGAGCGGGGCGGGCGCTGGGCTTGCGGGCCTGGGCCGTCGGGTCGCCGGCGCCCCCTCCGGAGGGTGGAGGTGGGGATGCGCGGTGCGCTCTCGGGGGCAGCGCGGAGCCTGGGGGGCGGGGGCGGAGGTGGCCCGGTGACCCGCCGCCCCGCACCGCCCACCCCAGCCCGGCCGCGCGCCTGGCCCTGCCCACCTCGGCGCCCACCTTCCCCCGCGAGCGGCGCGGAGGGCGCGGGGAGGCGCGGGGAGGCCGCGGGGAGGGCGCGGGCGGCGCGGGGAGGGCGCGGCGCGGGGAGGCGCGGGAGGGGCCCGGGGAGACCGCGGGGAGGGCGCGGGCGCCGGGGCGCAGCCCGGTCTCGCGCGGGGAGAGGCGGCGGCAGCCTGGGCGCTGGCCCTGCCCCAGCTTCGGGGCCAGCCTGCGCCCTCCCGGCTCGCCCCTCCGTCCTCCGCTGTCTGCGGGGAAGCGAGGTGAGGAGGCGCTGCCTGGGAGGGCGGGCCGGCCCCCAGGAGCCGGGAAGGGGGGCGGGGATGGCCTGCAGCCGGCTCGGGCTGCTGCGGAGGGGTGGGAGCGCTGGGCGTGTGTTCTCCCGTCTCAGTTAGCGGTTCTCTCACGCAGTCACAGCGCCCACGGGACACCCCTGTGCTTGGAGCCCAGACAGGGCTGGGCGTGCGGGTGGGGACCCGTCTCCACCGCGCGGGCCTTTCCCTCCGTGCGGCTGTGCGTGCGCTGCTGCTCCATCTGCCCGCTGCCAGGCGCCAGCGCTCCGTCCCGCACAGGCCTGGCACCGCACCCAGGCGGCCCTCCTCCCCCATCTTTCCCATCCTCCCCCATCTTTCCCATCCTCCTCCATCCTCTCCCATCCTTCCCCATCCTCCCGCATCGCTTTTCGGAGGAGCAGCTGTCGGGTGGAGACTCTGTCCTGGGGCTTCCTTAGGCGGCTCCAGAGGCTGCCCGGCAGGAAGGAAAAAACAATCCCAGTGAGCAAAGAACGGAGGAGTGAGGGTGTGGGGGGAGGTGAGCCTACGCAACCCAATCTGGTGAGATGGTGGTCCCTTAATACCCCAACTGGGGACCATGAATATCCGGTTGCCAGAGTACCCGGGCCACCCATGTGTTCTGAAAATGCCAGAAAACTCACCCCTCCACTTCATACTAAACAATATACGTCCTATATAATAAAAGGCTAACATGCAAATTGCCCCCTCCAGAGTTTGACCAACCAAGAGTTCCACCACTTACTATGAGGGGCAGAATGAAGGAAGGCCCCAGCCGGCAGCCAAGGGAAGGAAGGCCCAGATATGCCCTGATTGCTGCCAGGCCTAGGGACCCTATCTGCACTAATTTCATGCACTGGGACTCTAGTATCCTATGTAATAATTCTATATAATAAAGAGATAGTATGCAAATTGACCATCATGCCCTCAGACTAGATGGCTGCCCCCATGTGGTCACAAGATGGCCAGCAGGGGAGCAGTTAGGCGTCTATCAGGCTGGCAGGAGAGTGGTTAGGGGGTGATCAAGCTGGCAGGCAGAAGCAGTTAGGAGCAGGCAGGTAGGCAAGGGTTGGGAGCCAGCAGTCCTGGATTGTGAGAGGATGTCCAACTGCCACTTTAGGGATCAGGCCTAAACCAATAGTCAGACATCCTCTGAGGGGTCCCAGATTGGCGAGGGTGCAGGTTGGACTGAGGGACAACCGCCGCCAGGAAATGAATTTCATGCACCGGGCCTCTAGTTAAATAAATAAATCCCTACTCCAAACATCATGGAGTTTCGGTCCTGGGCCTTCTGGTCACCGATGCCACCTCCTGAGGGTCGAGGTGGGGATGCTTGGTCTGCTCACGGGGACAGCGTGGGGCCCAGGAGGGCGGAGGGGCAGAGGGCGGAGATGGCCACAGGACCCGCTGCTCCGTGCCACCCACCCCACAGATCCAGTTTCTTTCTAGTAGTAGCCACTCATCCCAGGAACTTGAGGACATTTTTAAATGCTTTCGGCAACCACTGTGAGCTGTGGTTAAGAGGTGATGTTAGTCCACCTGTAACACGAGATGTGTGCAGAGGTTCTGCCCGTCTCCCTTCTAGCAGGTTTGCACTCGGCCTGCACAAGTAGAACAACCATGTTTAAATAGCAGCCTCTTGCAAGAAACTCAGAAAGGGGTTAAAGACCCAAAGGTGTAAAACAGCTCTGGATTGTGTTTCCATGGTGGTTTCTGACCCTATTCAAAGGTCACAAGTTTTGGGGGGAAATAAAGGAGATGTTTCCTATTGATAGTAATCAGAACCCTGGTGCCCAGTCAATGCCAATTGTGAGTTTAGATCATTAGAAGCCAGCACATCGCCTAAGAGACTGATGATGTGAAACATTCTGGACTTTGCAGATCCTCAGCTTCCTAGATTAGGTAATGAATGCCCTTAGGGTGAGAATCATGAAAAGAAGGGAGAGGGGGAATTGAGAGAGGAAAGAGAGGCAGGAGAAGCTTATGAATGGGAATGAAAGCAAAAAGAGAGAATAAATCACACTCTGTGCTGCTGTCCTTTCCCACTCCTGTACCTGTATCTTCAAAGGTTCCCATGGAAATGAATTGGCTGAATTTATGGCAAGAGGTAGTAGGCAGTGCCTATCCTCAGAAACCAATTCTGGCCTGGCTGGTGTGGCCCAGTGGTTGAGCATGGACCTATGAACCAGGAGGTCACGGTTCGACTCCTGGACAGGGCACATGCCCCGATTGCAGTCTCAATCCCCAGCATGCAGGAAGCAGCTGACCAATGATTTTCTCATCATTGATGTTTCTATCTATCTCTCCCTTTCCCTTCCTCTCTGAAATCAATAAAAATATATTTTAAAAAAGAAAGAAACCAGTCTGTCCCACATCTCTAACACAGGGCCTGATCGGCTGCTTCACCTCGGTTATGGTGTTTGTGAGTGTGGGGGGGTTGTCATCTATGATCTAAAAGTTCCCTTCTCCAGTTCTGAGGTCCTGTAAAAAGAAATGAGCTCAGAGCTTTCAATAGCTCATAACTCGTTCCTCCAAGAGATGGTCGTTATCTCCATTGCTCTTATAAATGTGGACATGCCCTGGTCTCTCCTTCCCTGCCCTCCTGCCTTCCTCGCTTCCTTTTCTCCTTCCTACTTGTGATCTATATCCCTCCTCTAAAATAAGGCAAAGTTAAGGAACAAGCCAGAATAGCCCACCCCCCTCTCCAATTAATTAATTACCAACAATTAGCCACATCTATTGAACATCAATTATATGCCCAGAGTTGTGATAAGCAGTGTCTAGTACAGCAACTACCACGGCTATATGACAGCTCTGTGCTTATTATAATGGTAGGTATTTCACAAACATCACTTAAGCCTCATGATAACCCTGTAAGGGATTTAGTCTCATTTTACAGATGCTGCTGGTCCAAACTGCATCTTCTGAATCTAAACCATTCTCTTCTTTCAGGTAAGGGTTCATCTGAGTTTGCAAAGAGAAACCATCCTCCAAACACTGCCAAGGTAGACTCCACCTCCCTGTTAGTGGGCTATCAGCACTGCCTCTGACAATGAAGAAAAAGACAAGGACCCTCCCCTCCTTGGGTGTCATATATGAGGATGAGGGATGCCTGAGGCACCACTGGGGCCACCTAGCTTAGTCTAGGTCAGTGGTTCTCAACTAGCAGAATCACTGTCCAGGCGATTTTTTAAAAATCCAGGTGCCTAATCCCATTTCCAGAGATTCTGATTCAGTCGTGCGGGATGAGACCTGAGAATCTGCATGTCTAACAAGTCGCAGGACTACTGATGCTGCTGGCCCTAGGACCACAGTTAGGGCACCACGGGCCTACAGCAGGGCTCTTTAAATTTCCTAGACTGCACACCACAGTGTGATACAACTTTTATATCATGGCACAGTAGACATACATACATGTAATTAAAACAAAAGTTGTATGGAACAATTTTTTCCTTATTACATCTGAAACCCTGAAATACTATTCTATTTCTTCCTTTTCTTTTCTTTTTTCCCCTCCCAAAACTGGTCCAAATTGGGGAGATTTGTATTTGGAAAGTATGGTATAGTAGTTATGAAGAAAATGTCCTTATTCTCTTAGAGATATATACTGAAGTTTTAGAGTCTGTAATTTCAACTACCAAAGAGAATGAATGAGGTAAATACAGGTAGGATAACCTTGAGTTGTGAGCCCAACTGTTCTAATATGCAGGATGAGACAATGTTCCTTGTCGGAGAGGGTCACACCATGTGCCACCTACTACACAAATAACTAATAGGTTAGCCCAATAAGTGAAAAAGTCACCTGAATCAAAACAACAAGATACCATCTCACATCTGTCAGAATAGCTATCATCAACAAATCAAATGGCAAGTGCTGGCGAGGATGTGGAGAAAAAGGAACCCTCATACACTGCTGGTGGGAATGCAGACTGGTGCAGCCACTGTGAAGAACAGTATGGAGTTTCTTCAAAAAGTTAAAAATTGTACTCTCATTTGACCCAGAAATCCCACTTCCTGTACTATATCCCAAGAAACCAGAAACACAAATCAGAAAGGATATATGCACCCCTATGTTCACAGCAGCATAATTTACAATAGCTAAGATTTGGAAACAAGCTAAGTGCCCATCAGCAGATGAGTGGATTAAAAAGCTATGGTCCCTGGCCCTAAGCAGTTTAACTCAATGGATAGAGCATTGGCCTGCAGACTG